CCAGAGCTAAGAACAGTGCCTGGCATGCAGCAGACGAGTGCCTGCTGGATGCATGCATGCGGACCCCGGCCGACATTCTCACGAGTAAGCATGTGCATGGGCCCCTTGCATCGTAAGGATTTGCACTGGCCCAAGCCTGCCTGGGGACGTAACTGCAGCTTAGCGCCCTCACCCTCCGGGCAGCGGCACCTGTCCCACTGCTGGCCATATCTTCCTGAGCAGAAGCGATGCCTACTGGCCTCAGACCTGGGTTTGAGTCCTGCTCGGCCATGTTCCCACTGTGTGACCCTGGGCAAGTCCCTTAGCCTCTCTGAGCCTCAGTGTTCTCATCTGTACAATGGGGATGCTGGTGCCTGCAAAGGCTCAGGGCAGAGCTAGATATGGAGGCTGTCCCACAGGAAGCTCTTAGCTCTCTGTGACCGGCAAGTGCAGGAGGCTGAGCTTCCTTCAAGCCCGAGAGGTGGCCCTAGAACCTCAAGTTCGGTGCGTCCCACCCCATCCCCAGCAAGAATTCTCTTGAACCGGTCGCCTGGGTGGCTCAGTGGTTGGGTGGCTGCGTTTGGCTCAGGTCATGATCCTGGAGTCCCGGGATCCAGTCCCACATCAGGCTCTCTGCTCGGCGGGGAGTCTGCTTCTCCCTCTGACTCTCCCCTCTCATGCTCTCTCTCACTCTCTTCTCTCTCAAATAAGTAAATAAAATCTTAAAAAAAAAAAAAAGATGGGGCACCTGGGTGGCTCAGTCGTTAGGCGTCTGCCTTCGGCTCAGGTCACGATCCCAGGGTCCTGGGATCGAGCCCCGCATCGGGCTCCCTGCTCCGCAGGAAGCCTGCTTCTCCCTCTCCCACTCCCCCTGCTTGTGTTCCCTCTTTGGCTGCGTATCTCTCTGTCAAATAAATAAAATCTTTAAAAAAAAAAACAAAAAAACTCTCTTGAACCATCTGCACCCCCCGACCTCAGCTAGCCTTTGATGTCCAGGACTATCGTGGGGGGGGATGGGGGGCCTGTTCAGTCGGCAGGCTTTGCTCCCAGAGACTGATCTAAAGGTCTGTGCAGGGGCCCTGGGGTCTGCATTTTATTATTTTTTCCCAGTGTCCTTGGGGGGGCGTCTTGCATTTTAAATAAACCCCCAGATGTTTCCAAGGTGGGGGTTCCTGGAACACCTTCCCTGCTCTGCATTCCACAGGGTCACAGCCTGGCCATCAGGGGCTTCTGTGGTCTGGCCCCAATCCCTCCACCTGTGTCCTCTGGGGGCTCTCAGTACTTCCAGGGGAACCGGACCGTCCTGATGAGTAACTGGGGGTGGGGAGGGGCAGCGAGGGCACTAATGTAGGGCCCAGAGCAGGGGCTCTGGAGGTGCACATCCGGGCTGCTCATGGCCACTTGTGTGACAGGAACTTTCCTAAGCCTCAGTTTCCTAGTCTGTGAAATGGGCATAATCATGGCTGCCCCGGGGGCTGGGTGAGGATTAGAGACAATGAGTGTGAAGGACGTGGTGACAAAGCGCCGGCACAGAGACGGTGCCTGTAAACAGGAATTACTTACCTACCCCCCCCCGCAAGCAAATTCTCATGACCTCCCTCCTCTGGGGTGAAACGGGCCAGTGTCCCTGGGGCCAGGGGTGGCTGGGCTGGAGTCACGAAGCAGCCCCGCTGGCAAACACAGAGCCCGAGGCGGGATGGCGATACTCACGACAGAGGACAGGTCCACGTTCTCCACCCTCCTGTCCTGCAGCAGCACGGGCTGTAGGCCGGCCACGCGGAGCTGCACGGAGGACGTGCGGTACACGAAGCTCAGGAGCCAGTCCCCCCTGCGGGCAGACAAGGGGGCGACGTCAGCCCTGGGGGGCCCACCTGGCCCTGGGAAGCCCAGTCAGAGCCGTGCACCCACGGGCAGGATGGTGGAACAGCGGCTGCCTCTTTGGGGGTGAGGCCCGGGCCACAGCAGCCCTAGAAGGCTGTCCGTTTTGTCCCTGCGGGGGTCCCCAGAGCTAAGAACAGTGCCTGGCATGCAGCAGACGAGTGCCTGCTGGATGCATGCATGTGGACCCCGGCCGACATTCTCACGAGTAAGCATGTGGCTTTGGAGGGGTTTCCGGCTCGGGGGGGTGCCGGGTGGTGGGTGGCTGCTCTAGGGCTCCATGGGAAGAGAAAGGCAGCAGGGGTCCTCCTGGGGTGAGTGGACCGTGGGGCCTGGGGGCTTCCGTGCTCTGGGGCACGGAACGCGGGGGTCTGGGTTCCTGTCTGTCTGTGAGCTGGGGGGCCCAGCTTGCCCTCTGACGCAGGTCCGGACCAGCCTGCAGGCCTCCCTGCCCTCAGCCATCTTGGAGGCGGCAAGGCTGGCTGCCCAGGCAGGTCCTGCCCTGGGAACACTCCTTCATTTGCACGGGTGCGGTGAAGCCCACTCCTGGCACCCTCATCCCTAGCCAGACACACCCCTACAGTATTGAGGGAAAATAACCCTGGACCCCGTGCTACCTGTTTCTTCAGGTACCGTGAGCACTGTCCACGGAGGACATGGTCAGAGGGGCCCACGAGACAGCCTTCTCCTTGAACCCTTGACTTTGTCCAGTTGAAGCTGGGCCAGCCGCGAGCCGAGCACTTGGCCTCACTGCTCAGCAGGTTTGTGCAAGTGGACACTGCTCGTCTCCCCTCTGCAGGGGGCGGGGGACTTGCATCCAACTTAGCACATCTGGTTGTGTTTTTTTGGGACCGACTCTCACTCTGGTTTGCATGGCAACGTGAGACCATGGTATTTGCGTGCTCATGTGGAAGGAGGGTCTCTCTTGCAGTGCTGCATGAACCAAGAAGGGGCTCAGAGTCCGGGGTCCCTGGGCGCTCTCCAGGCCCCCTTGCAGGTGGTCTCTGACCACAAGGGCGCTCCTGTGTTTACCACCCAGAAACCCCTGGAAGGACTGGGGCACAGAGTTGAGGGGGCCCTCTACAGACCCTCCTGTGGTGTCCCACACTGAGTGCCCCAGCCCTGACTCCCTTTCTACTGTCATCCGCCCGGTCCCCCAGGCAGAAACCAGTGGGGCAACGTCAGGCCCCTTTCCCCCAGGGGCCAACCCACCAGAGTCCTGCTGATTCTTCTCACCTGCACGCATACCGGTCCCTCTGCCCCAGCCCTGCGATCAAGGCAATGGCCTCCCCTCCCACATGCCACCATGGCTTTCCTGAAACACCCATCTGACCACGGGCCTTCTCTCTTAGAAGCTGACCGTGTCTCCCCACTGCCTGTAGGCTTTCTCTTCTAGAAAATTCCTTTACTCTCTCCAGAGAACAATGCTTACCAGTCCCAGTGATTATCTTAATATTGAGGGCCCAAGAAGCACCGTCGCTAAGAACGGACGGCCAAGTGGAGAAGAAAGATTCACTCAAGTTGTTCTCTTGCACTAACCATGACTTATGTGCATCAGATACTGGGTATGAGGGTGGTCCGTAAACATTTCTGTTATAGACAGTTATAATGGGCCAAGTCAGCATCATCCCTTCCACATTGTTTCTGTCTTCATTATGACAACACTCTACTTAAAATGTTAATTGCTTCTGGCCTGCAATGTTTCTGCTGAAAAAAAAAAGTTAATTGCACTTCCTTGTGTACATTTAGGAACAGAACAGGAATATATGTTAGAAGGTTCCATATCCTCTAAACTGTGCTGAGCAAACCACAGGGTCTTCCCTGGCATTCAAGACCCTCTTCCATCTAGCATCTGTCTCTCTCGCCCGGGGTGGGCCATAATCCCACACACGGGACCACACAGAGCCAGGCTCTAGTCCTGCCTTGTCAGTTCCTAGCTGTGTGAGCTTGGGCCAGTTGCTTGGCCCCTCTGGGCCTCAGTCTCCTCACTGCATCTCACCGCCCAGGGTGGGCAGGAGTGTATACTAAGATGGCACATCATGGACACGGTGCTCACGCACGTGAATATTCAGGAAGCATCTGGTCTGATTATGCCTCCCGCTCTGGGAACTTTTGCTTGGCCCAGTCTCCCCGTGTCTGGTGGGCTCTTATCCATGCTTTCAAAATTCAGCTTGGATACCACCTCCTCCAGGGAGTGCCCCTGAGCCCCTCCACCTGATATTATTAATAATTTGCCCCTCAAGTGCCTGGAATATATGCTCCTTTGGGGACATGAGTCCCATGTCCTCTGTGTGTCCATTCTTGAGTCTTTTCCTTTTCTAGGCAGAGAGTTTTTTTTTTTTTTTTTTAAAGATTTTAACCATTTATTTGACAGAGAGAGAGCACAAGCAGGGGGAGAGGAAGAGGGAGAAGCAGACTCTCTGCTGAGCAGGGAGCCTGACGTGGGACTTGATCCCAGGACCCTGGCATCATGACCTGAGCTGAAGGCAGATGCCTAACTGACTGAGCCACCCAGGCACCCCTATATTACACATTTATAAATGTTTAGTTTTTGGTAGTTTTGGCCTGAACACTCTCCCCCGCCCCCCCCCCCCCCGCGCCCCGCCATGCTTAAGGAGGTTCGAAGCAAGTAAAACACCTTTGGGGGCCCAGACTATGACATCTTGGTTGGTGCTAGAAACTACAGTTATTGTGGTCTGTGTTCCTTCCTCCTACTCTCCCTGCTTTCCTCCTCCTCCTCCTTTGTCTCCCTAGAGAGATGGCTCAGGATCTCACAAAATAATTGAAAACCAAGCTTATTAGCCTCAGGTTTGCAGCAGAACATATGGGTTTAATAAGTTTTTGCTGCTTTCATATTGCACCCATGCAATTTTAATTCCTTCCCTTTGCTGTTTATGAAAAGCACCAAAAAATCATGTGCTATGTGAATGAGCCCAGTTATTATAACTGCTATAGTTTATTGAACACCTACTAAGTGCCCGCCCTTTTCCTAATTAAGGTCATTTAATCTCCCCAGAAGCCCTGTGCAGGAGGGACTATTATTCAACAAGTAACTGGCTGAGCCAAGATTTTAACTGAGTACTTTTTTTTTTTTAAGAGACAGTAAGTGCATGGGGGGGTTTGGGGGGATGGAGAGGGGCAGAGGGAGAGGGAGAGAGAATCCTCAAGCAGACTCCCCACTGAGTGCAGAGCCCGACCTGGGGCTTGACCTCACAAGCCTGAGATCATGACCTGAGCCGAAATCAAGAGTCGGACGCTTAACCGACTGAGCCACCAAGGTGCCCCAACTGAGGACCGTTGGACATCAAACCCGCAATGACTCTGTGCATCGGTTTCTGTGTATCTAGTCCAGCAGGATCACAGAAATCAGAATGTGTGGGATCAGAAAACTGGCACATTAAAAATTTTAGTGGATATGGCCACTTGTTCTCCAAAAAATATTTACTAAATTCAACTGTCACACCAACAGTGTATGGCAGTGCCCATTTCTCCACATCTTCACCAGCACTGAATGTTATTCATATTTCAGATGTTTGATAATCCGATGGGTGATAAATAGTATCTTACTGATTTTAATTTGCATTTATTTCACTCATGATGAGGTTGGGCATCTTTTAAAAAATTTATTACTGTGGGGTGCCTGGGTGGCTCAGTTGGTTAAGTGTCTGACTCTTGATTTTGGCTCAGGTCATGATCTCGGGGTCATGAGAGAGGGTCTGCATCAGCCTCCAAGCTCAGTGGGGAGTCTGCTTGAGATTCTCTCCCGCTCCCTCTGTCTCCCCCCTACACTCTCTCTCTAAAATAAATAAATCTTTAAAAAAATTGTCTTTATTCTGTGAGTTTATGTGTAGATATCCTTTGAACGTTTTATTAGTTTTTTTTTTATTGATTTGCATGGGCTCTTTATATATTATGGCTCTGTCTTTTGTTTCTTCGTTCTTCCTACCATATCCTAATTCTAAGAACTCAGCTTAGAGTATAAGTGAGAGAGCTAAACTGATAGTCAGAACTCCTGTGTCCTGGCTAATGTCCTCGGTCTGTGGCTAAAAGTCATCTTTATCTTGAGCTCTGAACTATAAGCTGTTGCTGTGGGCTAAATCATCAAATGATAAAGACTTTCCAAATCTGTTCCATTTAGTTTTGTGTCCTACTTAGGATGGTTGGGCTTAGATCAAAATTAAATTTAACTGGCCTTAGTTTTCTCATTTGTAAATGGGGATTAAAGTACTAACACCACAAGGTTTGGGGGAGGATTAAAGGAGATCATGATCACGAAGACAGGATGGCACGCGGTAAAGAGTCTAATATTCCTGATATCCTCCCCCTCACATTGTGGCATTGTTGCATTTTTAGTTTTGACTTTTTAATAACTGTCTATTTCCGTATGTGTCCTTTCCACTAGACGTGAACCTCTATCACCAGCCCGTCTATGCATTCCCGTGCCCAGCTACGGTCTCGGGCACAGAATGTTGGATGATCCTGCGTCGCCCCCAACCTCAGCTCGGGGCCTCTTTCTCCCTGCAAACCCGAAACATATTCTTTAGAATTGGGAATCCAGCACTTTGCTCTTTCTCTATGCTTTGCCTTTCCTGTGATCTCCCCTGCCCTCTGGCTTCAGCGGAAGCTGGGGACCCCACTGGCCCTCACTCCAGCTCCGACTTCTCTGAGCTCTAGTGTTGCGTTTCCAGCCGGTTGGGAGAGAGGTCATGTTCGTGACCCAGTGGATCGGCTGCTTCTCCGAGTCCTACCTCCTTGTTTTCTAAATTGTTCATATTTTAAGTTGTGTTCATGGAGCCCACAACAAGTCAGCCAAACCTTCCTGTTTTCTAAATTCCAAACCTGTTCTTTGGATCGTGGCTTAGAATGTCACCTTCTGGTCCATACCCTGCGCTTTGGGTCACGATCATAAAATGCGGGTCCCTTATCTAAAATCCAGGAGGCTGACTGTGTTTCAGAATTCAGGCCCAGGTCTGTGTGACTCTAAATCACTGCTCTTCAACACTGTCACCCCATCCTTTGCCTTTGGAGGGCCCAAGCACCTTCTCAGGCGGCCCTCCTGCAGTGTCAGTGGTGGGTTTCCTCTTTTCTTCCCCAAAGTCTGGGGCATAGCCTTGGCCAAAGCTCCCGAGTCCCCCTTCACCAAGCCCAACAAGGGGTACCTCCTTTCCAGCCTCACAGCCACCAGCCTTCACAGGCCCCACCATATCTTGCTGAGGGGTGCTGCCTGGTGTGGGTCCTGGCTCCTCATTGTCGGCTGACTATTCTGTTACCCCACCTGAAACGGGGCTCTGGGGGCTCGGCCCACACCCTTGCCCACCCCTTCCCGCACTGCTGAACGGTGCCCCCAGGAGCTCCTTGGCGGCATTCGCAGACCCCCGCTGGGGCCCAAGCTTTGGTTTTCGGTCCGTCCTACTCACCACATGCCTTTCCCCCAGATCATGGTGGCCAGCCTGGACTCTCCTGTCACCCCATAAGCGGGCCTCAGACCTGACACAGGGAGCCCCTGTTCCTTCATCCTATGGGGACAGAGGGCGCCCCCCCCCCCCGCCCGGTCAGAACACCTTGCTCCTAACAGGCCAGAGCCCCACTGGTCCCTGGGATCCTCCAGGACAGGGGCCAGGCCTCGAACATCTGCACACTAAGTGCTCGGTTAGTACTGTCACCCCCGGCGCAAGACTGGGACAGACCTGCAGTAGCCATTAATGATCCTCCCAGACACCACCTTCCGGAAAGGCTCCCAGTGCTTGGCTTCTCCTTCTATGGGTGCGCCCAGCAGGACGACATCCTCAATGATCCCTTGGCAATCTGGAGAGAGACCCAGAAAAGGCGGTCAGTGTCCCTGGCCACAGCGGGTCCTGGAAGGAACGCTCCAACAGTGGGGGCGGAGATGGATGTCACACGCACACGTGCTCACACACACACACACGTGCACACACAGTAGTGGGGGCTTCCACACACTGAGTCGCAGGCCAGGGGGCTGATCTCTTCCTGCAAAGCACCATTATCCCTCTTTTATTTAATTTATTTATTTATAAAATATTCTATTTATTTGAGAGCGAGAGAGCACAAGCAGGGAGAGCGGCAGGCAGAGGGAGAAGCAGGCTCCCCACCAAGCAGGGAGACTGATGTGGGACTCGATCCCAGGAACCCGGGATCATGACCTGAGCTGAAGGCAGATGCTTGACTGACTGAGTCACCCAGGCGGCCCCATTATCCCTATTTTAGAGTTAAGGTAAACCACAGACACTGTCAAGATCACATAGCTCGGAAGTGCCACAGCCTGAGTTGGGACCCGGTTGTATTCTCAGCATCCGTGACGCTCCCAACCAGCCATGGGCTCGGAGGGAACATCTTTAGAAGGGACCGGCGGGCCCCAGGTCATCGTGTACGTCGGGGGTGAGGGGGAGATGCCCAGCCCTCCTCGGCAGCAGTTCCCTGGGGCCTGGGCGGCGCGGCGCGGCAGGAAGTCGGGAGGGAAGGGAAGATGGGGGCAGACAGGTCCCAGGGCAGGGGGTACATCCATCAGTTTCACTGACCAAATGGCTCAGATACATTTTAGGCGGGGTTATTCAAAGTGCGATTCAACAGACCAGGGCTGGCCCCATGGACGTTTGTCCGGTAAACACAGAAAGAGGACAGCATCATTTCTTCTACCTTGGGGCAGACTAGAATGCATCAGTTCGCAGACGGGCGTGAGCACACCCTGAGAAGTGCCGCTCCTGACCAATGAGAGGGGCGCATGTCCCCCCCCCGACCCCCCGTCACTCTCTGTCCCCTCCTCTGCTGTGCTTTTCTTCTTGGCACATACCACTTGTTTCTGTCTGTCTGGGTGCGGTGAGGGCAGGTGCGCTCGCCGCCTCTGTCCCAGCTCTACGGCCGGGTCTAGAACAGTGCCTGGCCTGTGCCTGGTGCTCCGTAAAGATTTGAGTGAATGAACGAAGAGGAAGTTCCGTCCCTCAAGGAAGCCAGGATGTGTATTTTGCAAAGCCTTTGTAAAGCCGTGGCTTCAAATAACTTCTGGGTATGGGACCTGGGCTGGGTCACTGAACTTCTCTGAGCCCATAAGTGGGTGACACCACTGGCCTTGAGGGTCTTTAGGAGAATTAAGTCACAGCGTGGGAACAACCCAGCACAGGCAATGCACAGGGGAAGTGAGTGAGGCCTCCCCCTGCCCTGAGCCCCCGCCTCTCCCCAAAGGTGGCTCTTTCTTATGCTTCTGAGTGTCTGTGTGTCCCGGGAAGCAGCATGCTCAGTGACACTCCTAGGGAACGTGCCCAAGAGGGACCACTCTGCCCTGTCTTCCACGTTCCCACCAAGGGCCACAGGCCTGGTGGCTTCCTCTCTCTGGGCTCCAGATTCTAACCAGAGCGCTTCCAACTGTTCTAGGTCTGGGATTCCAGCTCAGCGCTGGTCCAGGCTAACAGGTGTCCAAGCACCCCTGGAGTATCAAGTGTTCTTAGGGCTCTCCTGTCTCTGATGTTGAAAGATGCCATGGCGCAGGATTCTGATTTCACCCCTTTTGTTTCCAGAGCGATGATAAGCTGGCAGAAGGATTTAAAACTTCAGGAAGCCGGCAGTGTGTTCTGAACAGCAAGGATGACTCAGGGGCCCCTTGATAGAAGGGCTATTTCGGGTGCTTCTGTGGCTGGCAAGGCCGTAGAGAATGGGATTTTATCCTAACCCCTGCTCTTGGCAGGTGAGGAAACTGGGTCTCAGAGGGGATGGGGCATGTCCAAGGTCATACAGGTAGTGAGAAGAAGCAGAACCCAGACTGCTTGGACGAAGTGGCTGGGTCCTTGGGGCCATGCTCTCTGCTGTTTGAACCAGCAACGCAAAGCACCGTGATCACATATGGGTCATCACTGTTCCCAGAGTGCCAAACGGTTGTTGACCTGGGGCCAGTGACTGAGCTCAGCAGCTCTGCTCTGGCGGCTGGCGGCTCAAGGCACCTGCTCGGCCCCACATGATCTCGCCTTCTCTGGAGGGCGGGGACCCCTTGTGGCCAGCAGTGGTAATGCAGCGTTCCTGATGGGTTGCCCTGAGCCAGTGGCTCAAAGAACGCTGTTAGGAAAAGCCAAAAAAACGTAGTGGCCTGTGACCTTGAACTGAGACCGGTAGTTGAACCTCACAAAACAGCCCAGAATGCAGCCAAATCAAGTCAGGGTGGGCAGTGAGCTGGAAACACATTTACCCATCAATGACACCTGGGTGGCCCTTGGTCCTCAGGCCGTTTGCCACATTCAGACATGTGCCTTAAAGAGGGTTTGTTGTCTGCGAGGCTGCAAACCCAGAGACAAGCCATGTGGCAGGCTCCACAGATAATTCTCTAGCTTTACAAATAGACTTTTGACGTAAAGGGAGGCAGGAATCCAACATGGGTTCAGTCACCTTCAAGTCAGGAGACATGGCCTTCGAGCCTTGGATTTCTCACTTAAAAAAAAAAAAAAGATTTGCTTATTTACTTTAGAGAGCCAGCAAGCAAGGGGGGCGGGCAGAGGGAAAGGGGGAGAGAGAATTTCAAGCTGACTCTGTGCTAAGGACACAGCCCAACTTGGGGCTCGATCTCACAACTTCGAGATAATGACCTGAGCCGTCAAGTGTCAGATGCTCAACTGACTGAGCCACCCAGGTGCCCAGATTTCTCTTTTAAAAACAATTCTCTGTATGTTACTAATATCCTGCTTTGTGGGGCCCCTCGGTGGCTCACTCAGTTAAGCAACTGACTGACTCTTGGCTTCAGCTCAGGTCATGATCTCAGGGTTGTGAGATCGAGCCCCTCGTTGGGCTCGGTGCATGTGAAGTCTGCTTGGGATTCTCTCTTCTTCTCCTTTTGCCCCTCCCCGTTTGTTCTCTCTCTCTAATAAAAATATATAAATATTTTTTTATTAAAGATTTTAATTTATTTGTCAGAGAGAGAGAGAGTGTGTGAGCGAGCAAGTGTGCACAAGCAGGTGGAATGGGAGAGGGAGAAGCAGGCTCCCCGCCTGCTTCTCGAGCAAGGAGCCCGACGCAGGGCTCGATCCCAGGACCCTGGGATCATGACCTGAGCTGAAGGCAGACACTTAACCGACTGAGCCACCCAGGCATCCCCAAAATAAATAAATTTTTAAAAATATCCTGCTTTGTTAAAGCTGGAGGCCCTCTACCCCGTTAGAACTTCGATGTAAAGGAGGCTCTGAGCCTCCAGGAATTAAGAAAGAAAAGCTTTGCCAGTCATGTCTTTACCTCTCCACTTCTAGTCCTTTCTGTCGTTCACATGTTTGGTGAAAAACATTTCTTTCCCACACTTTCTTTGCTTCTACCTCTTGTTTTTATTCTTGACACAGGAGCCAAAGTGATCCCTTTACAACGCAAGTCACAGGCATGAGGCATCTTTTGAGGGTGATGGAACTGGTCCAAAATTGGGTCATGGTGATGGCTGCACAACTCTGAGTACTGACTAAATATCACTGAATTGTACACTCGGAATGGGGGATTTTGTGGTGTGTAAATTATGCTGCAGGAAAGTCAAGTCATTTCAATCCTGTGCTCAAAACTCTCCCACGGATCCCACGTCCCCTGGAGTAAAAGTCAGTCACGGTGACAGCCCTCAAAGGCCCACGTGACCTTCCCCTGCTTTCTTCTTGCTCACTCTGCTCCGGCCACGTGGCCTTGCTCTTCCCTCTTCCTGAATGCTCTTCCCTCTGATTTCCACACCTCCACCCTCCCTCACCTCTTTTTTTTTTTTTTTTTAAGATTTTATTTATTTATTTGAAAGAGGGAGAGACAGAGCACAACCAGGGGGGAGCAGCAGGGAGAGGGAGAAGCAGATTCCCCACTGAGCAAGGAGCCTATCATGGGGCTTGATCCCAGGACCCTGGGATCATGACCTGAACCGAAGGCAGACCCTTAACCATCTGAGCCACCCAGCTGCCCCTCCCTCACCTCTTTGCTTAACTGTCACCCTCCCAGGGTGGACAAATGCACCCACCACGTGCCTCACCTCCCTTCTTTGATTTTTCTCCATTGCCCTTAAGACTATCTGACTTCCACCTGTTTTGCTTTTAAAAACCTCATTTATGGTCTGTCTCTTACTAGCATGCAGGCTCCCCAGGGGCTGAGATTGGTTTTTTGGTGCTCTCCAGTGAATCCCCAGTGCCTGGAACAGCACCTGGCACAGATGCTGAGCTCCACAGCTATTTGTGGAATGAATGAAAGCAAGCAACGCGACTGAGCGGTAGGAACGCTTCATGGTGAGAATACATGGAAGGAGGTTATTTCTTGTTTTTCCTTTCTTTTTTTTTCCTTCTGGCACAACTCCTTCCCAGCAGCTACAGTTGGGGATCTCCGAAGACTGGCTAAAAGCAAATAAAGAGTGCTACCCCAGCTGAGAGTAAATGGAAGCGTCTTTAATCACTGTTCTCAGCTCTTCAGTTGCTCATTTCCAGAGCTCTGTTCTGGGGGGATGGATGCTACTGAGCATGACCGTAGTCTGCAATGGGCAGAAGAGCGAGTGGTCCTTCTGAGGCTAACGCTGGCCCATCTCCTCCCCTGGCTTCGGACAACGTGATCCAAAGGCTCATGGTAACCCTCCCAAGAAGAACCTGATGTCAGCTGTATTTATAGACTCCCTTGTGTCTGGCCTACCTAAGAAGACTCAGGGTCGCCAGCCCCTTTAGCTGATCCGTGGTGCAGCTCAGGGGTGCCCAATCTCCGGGGGGCAAAGCTCCAGAGCGACTCTGAGGGCCTAAGAAACTGCATAAGCACCAACAACCGTCGGCGAGTCAAATGCCTCCAAGGACTCGCACAGCAGGTGGCAAGATTTC